ACAACAGGTAGAAAATCACAAAGGACCATTTTCAGTACAAGTGAGAAGACCAGTAACAGAAGAAAGAATTTTCCTATTTTCACTTAATTAAATACTGAAGAACAATTACAAAGACACAACTCTCTTATGCTGTTAATTCACTTCCTGGGTGTATGTGACAGGTAAAGGCCGTGTGAAGTGAGTGCACAGTGTAATGAAAAGGGCACTGGTGCCTGAGGGACGCTTACAATTCCCTTTAAATGCAGACTTTGGAAGCTCCTTTTGGTTTGGAATTCATACAGAATTGTTTTGCATTATGTGAAGTACAGTATTACAAATAATTATCTTTACATAGTTTTTAAAGACATAGGAAAATATACCAGGGAGGACTGGATGGGTGTACAGCTTAACCTGCCATAGCTTCTTTGATTTAGTTTTAACTTACACAACCAAGGATCTGATCCAGTGAGAAAGAGCAACTTGCCTCAAGTAATACTCATGTGATAGAACCAGGAATAAAACCACAACTTCTGACTCCCAATCGCAGGTGAATTAACTAATACTTCCTACAGGGTGCATCTCCATTATTCTTGAGGACGACCTCAAAGCCAAACTCCCAACCATCTGCATTATCCACCTGCGGAAGTGCCCTTGAGGCTTCCTTTATAGTGATTCACATGGTAAGCCAAGAACAAAAAACCCCAATTTTGCTTAGATCTTAGGCTACTCATAAGGAAACCAAAGTTGGGTTGTATAAAGAGTCATGGGGAAAAAAAAAAAAAACCACGGGGAAACAGTGAAGAAAATTCAGGACCGAGAAGACACAATCCCAAGCACCTCATAAGTCATGTGGCCGTGATTGATCTGTGCAATGTATATAAATAGCATATAGGTCTTTTTCCCTGAAAGTCAAAAACTGCCAGGGCTATATTCAAAGCTAGCACTGACTCAGACACATCGCTGTGCAAAGTGTTGCAGGTAATGGTAAATTTGATGACATATTTCATGACAAGTGAGCCAGTCAGAGGTCTTGAGTTTTCTGCCTAAAGTGCTGTAGTTGAAGTTCTTATGAACCTTCCCAATATAAAAGTCATTGTAAGCACATTCGCAAAGCATTGGAGTAAGTATCAGCAAAACCTGTGCCAGCAACATGTGATGGGGTATTACTGATAAAGCCTTCATTGGGATGGCAGTGCAAATCATGCTGGAGTATGGGTTGTGCATTCTAAAGCATCTCTCCTGACCACAGGAATGATGAGTCTCGTGGAATGATAACCCTTTAATACTTTAGAAGGATGATGATCAACATTTCTCACTACATCTGTGACCAAAAATGACAACTGCTGCTTCAGAGCCAGTGCTGACCTGGCACAAAAGGCTCTGAAAATAGACTTCTATCTCTTCAAATAGGTAGTCCATAGCTTATCATCTAGATATAACTGCCCCATATATATCTGTACATGATGAAAGTTTGCAGCTGCTCTGATGCTGCAGACTCGACATTTGTGATAGCATATTCAGTGTCTATGCCGCACTTTGAAAGGTTGTGGTTAGTGCAAATGATGACTGCATCATTGGCCACACTGAGTTGGCACTGCATTCCCTACGGTGATTTCTGACATCTTCTTTGGACCTGTTGGAATTCTTAAGAACTGACGTAAATGAAGTGATGGAAGACAACATGGTAAAGCATTTGACGCGTATGATACAGTATGTACTTTACTTATATGAGAAGAGCTTTTATAAAAATAGGACAAGAGGTTGTGCAGCCTTTGGCAATTCTTTAACAGTTTTGATTGCTTTACCCTCAAAGAATTGTTCCAAAAAATCATTATATTTAAGAAACTTCTCTAGAAAGTTCATTTCTATCAGCTGACTATCCTTTGTGGTTTTTATCCAATACTGTGGACATGAATAGAAGCCTTAGCTTGGTTTGTTTTTCCTAGAAACTCCTATAATGGGATCTCACCTGCCTAACTTACATGCCTTGTCTAATTCTTGCCTGATCCTTAGGAGAAAGATGAAGCAACCTCCTTAATAGCTTGATGTCCTAACAGAGTAGAAATAAAAGGGATAAAAATAAAGCAACAACACCTGAATATTTCTCAAGGAAGAGTCCTTCAAAGTTTAGAAAAGTTCAATGTCTTCCTCAAATGATGAAGACAGCATCTCCCTCTGCAGTACTCCAGAGACACCTCTCTCTCTGATTACACAGAGAAAACATAAGAACTTTTTCTAGAAACATCTTCTAGATCCCTAAGAAGTTAACCAGAATTTGAATACTCAGTTTCAATAAGTTTAGTTCATTTTCTATCCCAGCAATTTCAGTGATTATGATCAAACATGTCTAAAGGATTTTCATCAGACCACTTGTGCTTGAATGCTTTCCTGGATTAGTAACCTCAGGGGGAAGCAGAGCTGGTGATAAGGAGGTGCAAACAAGAGTCACATTATGTAGATTCTGCTTCGACTCTGGTGCGTGTCTGTTGTGTGCCTTACACAAATCACACTATACATGTTATCCTCATTTTACATACAGAGAAGATAATTATCAACCCTTGGAAAAATATTCATTTGTTATTATTGTTATTACTACACATTTCTGGTCAAATTTTGAAGAAGTCATAAAATAGGAAATGGCAGATCGCTCAAGCTGCCAGGTTCCACTGAGAAAAATAGTGTCATAAAGACAAAATGTAATGCTTAAGCTTTAAAGGCTAAATTGGTAATAATTAACCTCACTTCTCTTTTTGATATGTACAAAAGAAAGATCAAAGACCTCTGCCAGACCTTCAGGACTTGCTCTTATTGAAAACCCAGAGAACTAAGAGGTGCTTTCTGTGAAGAGTGCTGTTCTTAAAGAAAAGCTCCTTTTGAAATGAACAGAAAAGGGTTATTTCTGTTATTTACAGCTCACCTGCACATTTTATTTCGACATAAGCAATTCCAATTTTATCACGAAAGCAAAGAATGGACTGTTATCAAGAAATCTTCCATTGAATTTTATATCAGAAGAGTGCAAATTAATGTTAAAATAGAAGTAAGCAGCTCGAATAACCTTCTTTTACTCAGACAGAAATTGATGGTTTGTTTACATATTTTCCCAACAGTGTATTCCTGAAAGTCAATTAATTACCTGCATGTACTGTTTGCACCTGCAACAATTCTCCTCCATCCCAATTCCCAGAACATCCCCCAAAGCTCTACCTGGTAAGCTGATCCCAAACATTTAAATCACGTCCAACCAGCAGCAAGGTCACATTACAGAGCACCTCTCACAAGGATCTGTTTGGAAGTGCTTTCCATCCCAGGGGCACGCAGGGCTCACCCCCGGCAGGGAGCTGCGCACAGTACACCAGGCAGCCAGCAGAAGGCTCCCTCAGCTACCGAGAGCGGCGGCAGCACTCGGAGAGCTGAGGGGAGCGGGAGGCAGGGCTGAGCTGTGCGGGGAGCAGAAGGAGCTGCCAGGGGGTCAGGGGCCAGGGCAGGAGGCTCCAGACTCAGGCAGGACAGGGGGTGAAGAACCGCATCCAGACATTGGCTTTAGCACCCTCACACTCAGCTGTCCCGTCTCCTTTATCCACATGTGGTTTGCTTTTGTTTTTAATGCTCAGTGCAACCGTATTTCCTCTTTTTTACTTTTTTACTTTTGCCATTTGAATGACTTCTCAGTAACTCAGCGTGCAAATATTCGCATGGCTCTAGCAATGGCTACCAGTTGACGTGCTAATATCACTTTCATCTGCACATGTGGTACACCCAAAGTATGGGTATATGCTTACGGGAACTGCAGAGATATCTTCAGTATGACTAGTTATCCTAAAAGCCATCCTGCTTGATATTTGCATGTATTATTAGCAGCTGAAGCATAGAGAGCTGAGTTATTCCCTATGCCAAAAGCTGACTTTGCCTCAAAAGCTAACTTTGCCTCAACCAGAATAAATGAAGCTCTGTTGTCCATTTCCTATGTATCTGCCCTGTGTTGAGAATTCTCCTGCTTTCCCATGGTTGCACAGAATTCTCCAGCAGTTTCTGGGGCTATGAACTACAGCAGAACAGGGGATGTCTGCCAATAGCTTTTTATTCCCTCAAGGTCTCCTTCTGCTGACGGCAAATGGTGACCACTTTGAATCTATCCTACCTAAAAAAAAAGCACTTTCACACCAAAAAGCTACTGAGGATTAATTACAGTGGCTTCATGGCTCATTTCTATAAAGGAATCATAAGCCACTGATGAACCAGACTAAATAAATGATTTGCAAAGGCCACACAGTAAGCAGCAGTGAACACACAAACCAGGGAGTAAGAGCACACTATTGTGCTTGCTTTTGCCAATGCAAAATCAAAACCAAAGTAAAACACCAATTCCAGTGCACAAAACACACCGCTTCCTCCCCTGCAAACCTCTATGAAGAGATAAGCAGAAGGAACTTTCTGTCATCTGTTACAGCTGCCTAGCAAACTGACCTACGTGTTTGACTTGCAGAGCTTTATGAAAAATTGTAATTTCCTGTTGTAGACAAAATTATAAAGCATCTTTTTGAGAAATCCTTATAGCTACACTATTCTGCCTTCTTGGGAGGAAACTTAAATACAATGCAAACTTTGAAGTGAGCCTTGGGTTTGTTACAATGGACTAACCCGATTAGAAATCATGCAAACTCTTGTTGCTCTTTAGCTGAATTCCCCCACAGGCTGTATTATAGCTCTCTAACCAGTCCCACAGCATTGAATGATGTCATGGGATCTGCAGCTCAGTGAGATGAAAGGGATAAAGCGGAACCCGCTGGCACTGGGGAAAGCTTCCAACACACAATCCACAACACAGCTTGGGAACTCAAAAAAGCTACAGATCCAGCCACTCAACTCCAAGCATGTCAGAATCATGTGCATTCTCCCAGCACAAGAAAGTAAAAGGGGGAAAGAAACCAGTGATCGATTTTTAACAAAAGAACTAGAGTACTGAAAGGCAGAATTTAACAGCACAACTACCTGCTGGAAAGCAAAGAAAAAAAAAAAAGAAAGAAAAAAAAAAAGAGTTCTTTTTCCTCTCCAAAGCACTGCCTTTGATGTATGGCAACTGATCACTGATCAGATTACAGGCACTTGGTCTCAGTGCTCGTCTGCCTTTGATCTGCATGGTTAATTTTATTTTCCCGGATTTGGAGTTTCGTCTGGGCTTGTGCTGACATACTTCTTCTTCTTTTTTTTTTTTTTTTTAAGGAGGTAAAGGCATTTAATACAGAAGCTCTGGCAGTGTGAAATTAAGTTGCAGAAAGCCTGGGCATTGGAAGACTTCATCATAAAACAGGTACTGGATTTTGTACTTTTTTTGCTGTTTTCTTTTTGCAAGACTCTAAGAGATTTTGAAGTTCACATAAGCAGTAATACTGCACAGCACTGAGTGTACATACTTTAAAATATATAACTTATGTGCCATTTCTATTTGTAACTTTTGCAGAACTATATTGTTTAAAAAGTATCTAGAATATATGGGCATTTGAAAACTGAAGCTAAATCAAATTTGTTTCAGTATTGATGGGTGTATAATACTTTTGTGTGCACTGCTCATTTCAGCTGTCTGTAGTTTTGTAAAGTGATATTTGAATACGAGCATACAGGACTTGGAGGAATGTTTATTTTCTAAGAAAAGACAAGCCATATTTCCTACACATTGTGTATTTCTTTCTCTGTGTGTATTTGTTAAAGGCTGCCTTCTTCAAGCAACACTTTTTATCCTACTGGTTGCATACTTGAGATGAAAAGGTGTCCTCTTTCACAAGTTATTAGAACTGTATTTATAAATAAATTTCAACATAACAGAGGTGTTAGTTCAACTATTTAATAGGAAAAGAAATCTTGATAATAAAATTAACATTTTAACATGATGATAGATGTTTCTTTTATGGCATATTAGTAAGGATATTAAAGAAATCTTTATCTTATCTAGAGTAAACACCTGGTTTTGCAGAACTCCAGGAAAGTTTTCCTACTATTTCAGTGAAGCAGTTTTACTTCACAATATTTTACATTGCTCCTCAAATTCATATTACAAATATGTACTCTAAGAAAATAGAAGACAAGTATACTTCAGAAATTCACTGTAAAGAATCATTAGAAGAATTGGGATTATTCACTGTACTTTGGCCCTTTAAGGGCCAGAATTTTTATGAGTATGGGCCAAATCTGTGAGTGGTTCTTTGCCTGTAGCAGGATTATTTGAAAATAAGACTTAAGTTTCTTCTGCAGGTTTTTAAAGATAATTTTGATTTTCAGAAGAACTTAGAACCCATAACTGGGGCCAGACTTGCAAAGTTCAACATTCCAGACAGTGAGCTCTCTGAACATCAGCTCTTAATGGTGGATAGTGAGTTCTCCTGAAATCCTGAATTCAAATACCTGTGCTTAAATCTAAACTTAGATGTGTGTAAGTCTTAAGTACATTTTTTTAATTAACAAAATGCAAGTGAAAGTATGCATAGCTAGTAGCTATTAAGCACTATTAAGATACCATTCTTTGGGGGATTTCAGTCCAGGACCCTCAGGGTGTTCCTATTTCATGTATATTTCCATATATACTACAGTAACATGCAAAATCAAATTTTAACAGGCTTCTCACATATGAACAAAATTAAGTTATCAGCACTTTCAGATGACTGTAGCCATCTTTCATTAGTTAGTCAGAAAACTTTGATTCATTCGAATTAGAAGTATATTTGTATATATAAATTTAAAATTTACTTAATATCAAGAGATAATATGCCAGACACAGATTAAGACCAGGCCTGACTTGGTATCATTTACTTTTCTACACCACCAATTAATTCATATTCTAACTTAACAAGTCAATTACACTCTCAGGAAAGTAATTAGCACTGCATGAATAATGTGTATATAGCTGTCAAGGAAGAATATTGTTGAAGGCATAGCCAAAGCAAAATTTAGAATTTTTCTGTGAGGTTTAGAATTTTTCTGTGAGGATGTACCAAAGCATGTTCCTGTAAGCTTGAAAAGACAGTTTCAAACATTAATTTTATTAACCAGCCCTATACTTCAGTGACGAGCTTCTTCACCTTTTCACTCTTCTCTTGCTTGCTCCTTGTGTTCTAACATGTACATTTATTTCCTGAGAAAAAGTGATTCTACACCTTACCTTGCTGTAGAGAAAGAAGGAAAACAAACAAACAAACAAACAAACAGAAACAGCAAACCATAGTGAAGGGATTCTTCTGGTTTTCCCCAGGAGTCAAAATAGCTACAAGTCAAATACATTTAAATTATCTCTGTAAGGATCTGACCCTACAATCACACAGATGAATAAAGCTGCTCACAGAAGTAACACTGCTAATGAGATAGGTTACATTGGTGGACTTAAACATTAACATATTTGCAACATTCAGGCCCTGGAACTGCATTTAAGAATTTTTTTTTTTTTTTTTTCATTATGTAAAAAGTCCCCACAGATGGGCGTTAACCTATTTAAACTGAAAACTATCTTTCTTTGTCTGTATGTGAGACTGAAATGAAAGCAGAGTTGGACATATTTTGGGGGGGGGGAGAGGAGGGGAGGGCATGGGCAGGGAGCAGGGGATTTTCAGCATTTTTGTTGTTTTAAAAAACAGCTCTCTGACTGTTCAATTTTTCATTGATCTGACTTTTAAAGATTAAATAATAATAATTCTTGGCGCTTATGATTGTGTATACAAAGTGCTGTATAAACATTAATTAATCCTCTGGCTTAAGTCTTCAGAAAGAAAAAGTTCAAGCAAATCAGACTAGTCTGTAATTTATTTATTAAAAAAGCATGAGCAATTTCTGATTATAAATAGAGCCATTTCCAAACAGTGTGTCTTAGATAACATCATAAACATACTTTAAGATTTGTAACAGTTAAGAGTATCAAAAGACATTGTACAGATATACTGACATCAGTTTCCAGCAGCTGTCATAACAAGAGTAGATCTATCTCACAGTTGACTGGGGGAGCTGTGTTAGCATTTGAGATATGGAGATAACAACTTCCTATTGCTGTACAATTTCTTCTTCCACATCAGATATGTCACGTAACTTAGTCTTATCAAAGCGGTCAACTGAAAACTACTTTCCAAATCTTTGCTTTCTCTACTGAGAATCTCTGCTGACTTCCATTTCTGTAGAAGAAATGTCCTAATTTAAAAAGGCCTGCAATTTTCATCATCTTTCAGTGATGCATGGAATTAACCCATTCATTTTCCAAGTCTCCAACAGAGACTTACACACACTTCAATATTCCAGACTCCATCACCCTCACTGTTCTTAATTCATCGCAGAAGTAAACCTCTGTGTGATAAGAAAGTCTTAATGCTTCTTTCTGTGGTAGTTCTCAGTGTTCAGACAATGTTTTAAGAGCTCTGGGATGTTTTAATACACTTTGTAACTATATTCCTTTAAAACGAGCACCTGAAACACAGAGTGACTCCAACAAGAACTCGTGCAGTGTATTTTCCAGGTGTCCACACAAAACCTAACATTCAAAGCAGCTGCCCATAAATACCGAGAGGATGCAGAGAGCCCAGTGCTGCACAGCAGCTGCCATGCACAACAGATGCACCGCCGCTGCTGTAATGTGCCATTCCTCGCAGACATTCCAGCCTTTCACAGAGCTCCTTCTGGCAGCAGGCCTGAAACAGAACTCGTCTTTGCAGGCCCTTTAGAAGATAATTAAATAAAAAGCCCTGTGAATTCTGAGTTAGCTCTTTTTTCCCTCTAATTGAGAACAACTCATTTTGTTGCAACCATTTATCTTTTCGCAAGCAACTTGCTGTATTACAACAAGAACTACTTGTTTTATGGAACTCCACATAGCAGGCAAATTCCAAAACTTTATCTCTGTGAGAAGCTCCCAAAAAAAGGTTTATTTGAAGATGCTTTCTTGCCAAGTGTACCTGATTGTTCACCATCTCCACACCCTACCTGACTTCCCAGTGTGTCCGTAGTACTGCTTGGACTGTGGCGGTAGCGCTAACCAAAGTTAATGATGGTTGCGTGAATCTCTTAATTCAAAGTTGAAACTCCTGATCTGAATTCCTCGCTAAAATTGTTTCACCGAGACTGGTTTTACCAAAGCTGGAGCATCGCTAATGCCAGCCCAGCTCCTAATTCACCGTACAGGTGGCAGTAAGTCGCATCTTTTCCAGTGAATATGAACAATTTCTCCTCTGCGAAGGGCTGGGTTTCTGAGTTTGTGCTTGGCGTTACGCCACAGCTTGGCTGCCTACAGAACGGCAAAACATTTCAGACTTTGAGCTGGCAGGAAAGAAAACCCCACCTAAGCGCTGAGAGAAGGGAGAACTTCACAGGGAGTCACCAGAGGACCTCTGCAGCCGCAGGTGGTGCCTGGCTGCGTACAGCCTGGCTGCTCCACGCAACGAGGAGCCGAGCAGTGCTTAGGGCTGATCCTGAGGTGAAGAGCTTCTGCGCTATTTTTTTGTTTGTTTGTTTTGTTTTGTTTTTCCCCCTCGACGCCTGGTAACAGCACCAGCACATCACCGAGCGGCAGCACGGCTCCGCCCGCCCTCTGAGGCGGCGGCAGCTATCGGCAGCACGCGACACCCGCTGAACGCGACCCCACGGCCGCCGCCTCGCCCGCGCGGCCCCGCCTCAGCGGGAGCGCGCGCCTGCTCGCCGCGGGGCACGTGTGGCCGCTGATTGGCTGCCCGCGGTCACCTGAGCCGGGCCCCCCGGCCGGTCAGGGAGGGAGGGAGGGGAGCGGCGCCGCGTTGCCTCGGCGACGGAGCGAGAGGACGGGAGGGAGGGCGCGGGCTCCGGGCAGAGGCTCGCCGGCAGCAAGCAAGCAGGCAGGTGGGTCTGAGCGAGCCGTGTCGCGCCGTCTGCAGGGGCGGGAGGGAGGCTGCCAGGCGAGGCGAGGCGCCGCAGTTCCCGGAGCCTCCCCTGGGAGCCCCCCCCGGAGGAGCGAGGGGAGCGCGCGGCGGGAGGGAGGCGGTTCTCGGACCGCCAGCAGCGCCGGGACGCGGCTGGGCACCGCGAGCGGCTTCGGAGCTGGAGAGAAAGCAGGAGCTAGGCACCTTCCTCGGGGCTGCAAACGGGATGGAAAGGAGCGATTACGGCTCTGCTGGAAAGCCTTTGATTGTTCAACTTCCTTTCGCGATGTCTGTCTCCATCAGTCTGACCTCGGGCTGAGCGCAGGACCCGGTAGCCTTGACAAATGTTGGTACCTGGTGTTTGTTCTCTACCCTAAGTGAACAAAGGGGGTCCAGTAGTGCTTGATGTGAGCAGGAGGGGCGGATTGGCGGAACCCCTTTCCAGTGTGCC